GGTGGCTACGTGGCCTGCCCGGCCTCGCAGAAGGTCATCCCGGTGCACCGGCACCTGCTGGGCACCACTTCCGGCACCTCGGCCGACTGTGCCACGTGGTACCGGGTGCTGCAGCGGGAGCTGCGGCTGCGGGCACTGAGGGAGGGCCAGCTGCCCAGTGTGGCCGGCGCCGCCAAGCTCTTATCAGCCATGCTGTCCCGTTACCGGGGCCTGGACCTGTGTGTGGCCACTGCCCTGTGCGGCTGGGACCGCTCTGGCCCCGCGCTCTTCTATGTCTACAGCGACGGTACCTGCCTGCAGGGGGACATCTTCTCCGTGGGCTCCGGGTCGCCCTATGCCTACGGCGTGCTGGACCGTGGCTACTGCTACGACATGACCACCCAGGAAGCCTACGCCCTGGCTCGCTGCGCTGTGGCCCACGCCACGCACCGGGATGCCTACTCAGGGGGCTCTGTAGACCTTTTCCATGTGCGGGAGAGTGGGTGGGAATACGTGTCCCGCACCGACGCCTGGGTGCTGTACTCTGAGCTGCAGAAGCTCCCGGGGCCCGGGAAGGAAGAAGAGGCCGGTGAAGCGGGTCCCGAGCCTGCCTCCCCGCAGAAAGCTGGGGGAGGCGGGGACCCCACTGCTGGGCCAGCGCCGGGGGACTCCAGCATGCCTTCAGAGACTGAGGTGCTGTAAGAGGCAACAGGACTTGGAGGCTTAGACCAAGGAAGAGGAGGGGAGAACGGGCGGCCGCGCCACCTCCCAGCACTTGGCACTAGCCCTTAGGGCTTGACGGCTCTCTTTGTGCCAGGTGCCCAGCCATCCTTTCTGCCTGGCGGAGCTATTGATGGCTCTGCCGGCACGTTCCTATTGACGCCCAATAGATTGGTCCAGCCTCCTTATCGGTGCCGAGTCTTCTATTCGCAGATGCTTCCTGCGTGGCTGCTGCACGCCAGACACTGTGCTAGGTGCTAGACCCTCTTTTTTTTTTTTTTTTTACCATCCTCTTCTGCTTTCCCACCCCACCCCCCTTCTCTCCTCCCCTCCTATTTTAGCCCTCTCTCTCAGTTTCAGTCTTTTCACCTTCTTCTCACCTGGTTGAGGGAGAGGGGGATGAGGTGGAGATGGAGCCCAGGGGGCCCGGAGGGGCAGGGGACACCCACAAGGTGGTGACAGGCTTTTCACTTCTCTGCTGCCACTCCCCTCCCTTACCCCTACTGAACTCTAGTGAATTCTCTTTTACTGAGTGTGATGCTCATAATTCTTTGAGGAAAAAAATTATCCTCACTTTATAGAAGAGGAGATAGGGTAATGCATAGAGTGACTTGCTCGAGGTGACAAGGTAAATGGCAGAGATGAGGCTTGGAGCCAGGCCTGCCATCCAGGCCCTTCCCTGTCTCTCTTCTCTCCTAGCAGGCAGAGCCCTGCAGGCATCTGGGAGTGAAGCGAGATGGAAAGTGGCTGGGCCGAGCCTCCGCCTCTTGGCTGGAGATGAGTGGACCAGAGGGCGCGAGGGTTTAGGGGGCTGAGCCTGGGAAGCTGCCCTCTGCCAGCTTTAGCTGGCCCAGCCTGCCAGACCTGGAGCCTACCGTGCTCTGGTCTTTCAGGACCTGGCATTGCTGCTGCCAGATTCCTCGGTTGCCTTCTTTCCAGCCTCTTCTTCCCGGAGCTCCCTCTGGGAAATGAAGGAGAGGAAGAAGGAGAGGGAGGTCGCAGTGATGTAGGAACTGTCAGGTTAGTGCATGCTCTCCAGCCCTTCTTGCCCACTTCTGCTTGCGTGCAAGCCCCCACTGGAGAGGCACCAGGAGGCACACCGCCTGTGCGCGTCTCAGGCCACGTAGGGGAAGGAAGCAAGGTTGACCCACGATGGCACCTTGCTCAACCTTCTTTCTCTTATCCCACGCCTACAGCCACCTTCATCCCTCTGGACAGCCCTCCTCCAGCCAAGGCCCGAGCCCCACCCCACGCACTTTGTACACTCGGCTTAGAATTCCGCCAGGTGGGAGCTAAGTAGACAGAGGGAAACCTCTTCTCGGTCTGACCATCAGGGGGTGACTATGGAGGAGGAAGCCTTGGTCAGGGAAAGCCAGGAAGGACATCAATGTGGATGGAGGGGAGGAAAGTGTGGTGGGGAGAGGGACCACAGAAAAACAGGACTAGCCTTGGAGCCAGGGTCCAGGAACCTGTCCAGGGGCCTCTATACCAGCCTTTCTTCAGGGAATGAGGTGTAGGACTCTGGGAATGATAGTATGGGGCTGGGACCCCTGGGCCAACCTAGACCCTGAGGTCCACAGGAGGAAGCGCAGCTTTTGCCCCCAGGGTTAAAGTGATTGACTGGTATAAGAGGGCACATCTGGGCCCCCCCTGGCGGCGCAGCGGGTTAAAGCACAGCACTGAGGAGCTAAAGCTGCTTCCGCATGAGTTCGATCCCCGCCTGCCCCGGAAGTGACCACATGGCTTGGCAGACCTCTCCTGACCCGCCCGCTGCTCCCCTCAGCAGTGTACTTCGTCGATCTGCCTGTTCTGCTCCCTACTCTGTCTCTGCCTGCACCTCTCGCCTGTACCCCAGTTCTGTATGCATAAATAAATCTTTTTTTTTTTTTAAGTGCACATCTCCTTGTGCAGTTGCGGGTGGGCTTTGTGTGGCGCTTGAGGGAGTGGCCAGTGTAGGTGTGTGCGCAGGAGTGGGGCAGGTGGTACATGTGTGGTTCCTGTGTGCAGACAGTGAAGACTGGAAGAGAAGGAGCAACAGCCAGATAAGAAGAGCGGCCATTGATGTTCACAGCAGAAGGCCTTGCCCCTCCTTTTGGGAAAATGCTCCAGAGTCAAGAGGAGTGGGGACAGTCTCACCCTCCCCCTTTCCTGACCTGTGTCTTCCTACCTCTATCCTGGCTCAAGGGAGTGAGAAAAGATGGGGAGGAAAGGGTGGTCTGGAGCTTGAGTGACCACCTGACCCCACCAAAGATTGACTAGGAGCTGCATGCAGCTCACTCCCTGGGGTGCTTTGCACCCCCTCTTCAATCCCTGACAGGACTAAACCTGGACATAAAGGGCAGAAAAGGAGGGGAGCCCTTTACTGCACCTGCTGTCATCACCTTGCTCCTTTTTCTTCCATGGTCTGCCCCTCTCCACTTCCTTTGACAAGTGCTGTTCTTCAGGATGAGAGACAACTTCCGAGATGGGCCCAGGGTCCTGCTGACAAGCTGTTTCCCTAGGCTGTTTTTTTCTTTTTAATTATTTTATTTTCTGTTTGTTTATTTTTTAAAGAATTATTTATGCATACAAGAACTGGGGTACAGGCCAGAGGTGTGTGTGGTGGTGAGAGGATTCACCAGAGACAGAGTGGGGAGCAGAACAGGCAGATCCACTGAAACACTGCTGAGGGGAGCAGGGGGTGGGACAGGAGAGGTCTGCTGTACCACATGGGTCAGCTCCCAGTGTCTACGGAGAGCTTCCTAGTGCTGAGACTTAACCCCTTGTGCCTCCAGAGAGGGCCTTTCCGTGAAGTTTTAATGGGTCGGGGAGGTTCTCAGGAGGAATGTGGGAGGACTGGGAGAGCAGGTGGAGTCTGCATCCCACTCTTGCCCCATCATTACCTAGGCTGTGAGTCAGGCCCCCGTGCCCCCCAGGGACTCCAGAAGCTGCGGTGCTGATGTCAGCGTGAGACCAGAGAGCTGACATCTCGCCTGCCCTTCCTGTTTTGGTGGACCCCGTTCCTCTCTGCCCTGCTGGGCACTGCCTCCTACAGTTTTCTGAGGGCTTCCAAGGCCAGACGTGGCCCTTATAGAGGCCTTCAGGCAGTCAGGGGTCCTGTCCCAGCTTTCCCACAGAGTAAATAAATGTCAGCCCACCACTGGTGCCAGGGTCCTTGATCCCCCAGCGGGCTGCCCTGGTGAAGCAGGAAGCTGTAGAGAAGGTATCTTTTTTTTCTTTTGTGCATATAGAACTGGTGTACAGGCCAGAGGCTCAGGGGCAGCGAGAGGCTTCACCAGAGACAGAGTGGGGAGCGGAACAGGCAGATTGACGAAGTACACTGCTGAGGGGAGCAGCGGGCGGGTCAGGAGAGGTCTGCCGCGCCATGTGGTCACCTCCGGGGCAGGTGGGGATCAAACTCATGCTGAAGTGGCTCTAGCTTCTCAGTGCTGTGCTTTAACCCACTGCGCCACCAGGGAGGGCCGAGAAGGTATCTTTTTGTTGAAACATCTTTCCCTCATCAGGAGGGGAGGGTCACAAGGGCTTGTCCTGACCCTTCTGCGTTAGCCTCCGGAAGCCCTGCCTGGAGCAGGGAAACCCGAGCACTTATGTGGATTTCCTGGGAGGACTCTTCTCTGCTCAGGGAATGGACTTTGAGTAATGCCAGTTGCCCCGTCAGCAATGACCCCTGGTGACTGATTCTGCCTCTCTACAGCCCTTCTCCTGACCCTCTCCCTCCTCCTCTGTGCTTCCCATGGGCAGGGAGAATTAAAGGTGGGCAGCAAGATCAGATCCACTGTGCTGTGCCTTTCCCCCAGGGCACAGCACCACAGCACCTCGGGAGGGACTGGCTTGCCCTCTCTGCTGCCACCACCCACTTTGTTCCTAGTCTAGACTTCCTTTTCCTTATTTCTGAGTATTTTTACTTCTGCCCCCCTTGCTGGAAGCTCTTGACCTTTGCTTCTCCTTCCCATCCTCTCCTAATGCTCATCCCCACGTCTTTATTTCCTTGCACAGTTTGATAACAACAGGGAACCCAGAGAGTTGATGGTGGGAGTGGGAATACAAGTCAATATCTCTGTACTCCCTGAATGGAGTCAACCCAGCCCCTCCACACACAGGGGCTTGAGTGGATGGTCCCCCCAAGGAGAAAGAGCCAGAGGGGACGGGCTGAGGCCTCTCCTCTGCCCTTGGGTATAATGATGCTCTGTAGGGAAACCTATGTGGAGGAACAGAAGCAGGCTCTGCTTTTACAAAATAAAGTGTTTGTTTATTATGAAATTAGAGATGGAGGCCCCTCCCCTTCCTCCCTCTTTCCCCTTCCCCAGATGCCTCCCGCTTCTCTCCCCTCCCCTTCCCCTGGGGCTTGGGAAGCACACACGTCAATGCCCAGGGCTTGGGTGCCCAGGGCAGGCTGACAGGTAGGCAGAGCTCCAGGGAGGCGGCCATGTGGGGGGCTGGAGCTCTGGTCCTGGGAGGTGGGCTGGCTCCCTCTCTTTGCTGGAGGCCATGGAGCCAGGATGAGGCCATGAGTGATGGATGGAACCATGCGGGCAGGTCTATAAAGACAGGAGAGCTGGTTAGAAGTGCTGAGTGGATCAAAGAGCGGGGGCTTCGGGCTGTCTCTGTGCCCCATGTAGTCTAGAGGCACTGACCTGGGGCTGAACATCCCCTGCAGGAGGGTGGGCAGCAGTGGCTGGAAGTTTCTCTTGCTTTGGAATGGTTAACAGAGAAAACCGAAAAGCCAGTCACAGGGACCCAGAGAGAATGTGGGCAGATGTGGGCAGGAGACAGACACAGAGCATGTGTAGGCCAGGAAGATAGAGCATGTGAGAGATTTAGAATCAGGGAGACAAAAACAGAGCCACAGAAAAAGTGAAATCACAGTGAGAGAACAGAGATGCGGAGTCGGTCCCTGACCTGGACAGGGAGAGTGTTACACACAGATTCCTGGAGAGACACAGACGACCCAGGAGGAGAGGGAGGAGGAGGGTGCCCTGGGGAAGTTGGGGGTACACAGGGACAGGATGAGGCCTGGGGCCCTGGGCTGCTGCCGCCTGCCTGGACCCCGGGGGCTCACTCAGAGGGCCTGTTCAGGCTGCCCCACTGCGGGGGGCGGGACCAGGGCCAGCTCTCAGGGGGCCGGGGGCTCCTTGGCCCCATACAGCTCGGCCAGGGTGCGGAAGAGGGGCCCCCAGTCGTCCCAGGGCTCTGCGGGGCCAGGGACACCCCCGGCCTCGCTGCCGGACCCCAGAGAGCTGAGGGATCCGCAGGAGGA